CCGTGGGGGGGGGGCACGCACCGGAGACGCGTGCCGCCTCTTCGGACATGCCACAACACCACCCCGCATGTATGAGGGCCCGCTGCGACGCTCCGGTGGCATTGCTACCCCCCAGGGCCCCCGTCCCGCCTAACCCTGGAGCGGTTGACCACGAGATCTAGCCTTTTGACTTCCCACGGACGGGCTTTGACCAGTGGACCTCTCCACCCGATTGTGTTAGGTCGGCCCAGAGGGACACCCGGGAGCAACATCCGGGCCAAAACCACAGCTACATCCACTCCGTGTAGACCCGACGCGTCCGTTTCCTCCCTCCAGGTGCCGGCGGCGGCGCCGTCCATGAGGGGGGCACACCGCGGATGTGAGGGGGGTCACTCTCTAGAGACGGGTGTCGGGCGTTTGCAACTGCCACAAAACTTCTGTCGGCATAGCTGTTTTTGATTTTAATAAAATATAAGGATCTATATTTAAAAGAACTTGACCGCACATTATTAACGTGCTCGAAAAAATACAAACTATATATATATATATTCATAATATATGAAAAAAATACAAACTACATATATATTCATATGTATGTTTATATTTAACATGCTACATGTTAGTTGATATAATAATACACAAAAAAGCATTAAAAAATATGTACGGAAAAAAATCTAACTATGCCGACGGCCTAGCCGTCGGCATAGATCCGACCAGCGTGCCGTGGATCACTGACGTGGCAGATATGCCGACGGCAGCCGTCGGCATAGGCTCTGCATGGTGCGGCCTGGATCAATGACGTGGCCTGCGGACCTATGCCGACGGCCCCCCGTCTAGGCCGTCGGCATAGCTCTGACGCCGTTTGCCAGGGGGTTGTCGGGCCCCACGTGTATGCCGACGGCTTTCGTAAGCCGACGGGAGCTGTCGGCGTATATGTAGCTAGGCCGACGGCCGTTCTATGCCGACGGGTGCCGTCGGCTTATCTCTGCGTAACCCGACGGCCTTTGTACGCCGACGGCCAGAACCAGGCTATCAGCATATCTCCGAAGAAGCCGACGGGGGCCGTCGGCATTGTTCTGACCGTCGGGGTATGGCCCTGTTCCGGTAGTGTAAGGCCGCTCATATGGAGTGAGCTGCAGACCAATCGCGAGCGCCGGTGGGAAATTTCAGCCCGTTCTCCCTCTTTTCCCCCTTTCTTCTGAGTCCGTACAAATCACGCGGTCGTGTTTCTCACTGCAAACGTGTCCCTTAGTGGTCTGTCTTGGAGAGTAGTGATCATTTTGTATTCGTTACTACCGCTTTTGCATCGTATCGTAACCTCAACTCTCTTTCCCCCCTTAATTAATGGATGAGGCAAAGTTTATGCCTCCATTTTGAACAAAAAGATTTACACTCTGGACATGTATTCCTCGTAGCATGGTAAATAGAAGAGCCTTGCCAATTTTGAGCCGTGATTATCCCCACAATGTTTCCAGACCAGTATGAAAGGAATAATAGAAAAAATATCCTTCGCCCCTTATCTCTTCATCATCGTCGGTTCCGTCACTTGTGGTATTCGTTTAGAATCTTGTTGGCCCTACTCGCTTACTCCTATTTTCCTTATTTCTTTTTCTAGTAGGTGACTGTTGAATCGACAGTAGTTACGAAAGGGGGAAATAGCTCAGTTGGTTAGAGTGCTGGTCTGTCACGCCAGAAGTCGCGGGTTTGAACCCTGTTTTACCCGCCCGATCTTTCTTTCTTCCCGAGGTCATACCTCTGCCACTTTACCCTGAGTTTCACTAAGGCATATAACCCCATTCGGGTAAGAGGAGCAAGCAGTGGGGAACATCTATTTATATTGGTGGGCGGCGCAACACGTACAGCTCATATACTGGAGAGAAAGCTTTACCATCCTCTCCGCTTACAAATAGGATGGAGCATCAGTTAGCGATTTTATTACGGGATGTAATCGATCTCACGGCAACGACCACATCGATCTGGGCTTGTACAAAGCAGAAACTAATCAACCCGTCTGGTCTGGCACACACACACGCATACATACACACACAGCTACTATCAACATGAACCGCCGCCGCCGCTTCGCTAGCTGCAACTGCATGCCACTACCAGTTTATTTCACGCCGGCCGCCGGCGCCATCTAGCACTTCCTGCCCAGCCGCGGGTTGTTGGCAAAGCTGCACCAAATCAACAATGCAGAATGGAGATGCATGCATGGTCAGCGCTCACGAGCAGTGGTGGAAGAAATACATGTATAGCATCAACTTGAGTATGAGAACAAGTTGTTGTATACTGAAGGCGGATGCGCTAGTACTGTACGTACCTACTCCGAGGTATGCGTTTAAACGCTCCAGTCGTCGGAATCGGGCCGCAGAGGTTGTTGTTTGAGAAATCCCTGCAAGCGAAACGTAGGGTGAACATGACAAGCGCGGAGGACAATTGGAATGCAGAGGATTCATGAAGCTGAGCTCTCCACTTACGCATGTTTCAGGTTGGACAGCCCAGCCAGCTCCCTTGGGATTGGCCCTGTCAAACGGTTGTGATCGATCTCCCTGTTGATCGGTTGCCAAAAGAGTCAGTCAATACAACCCTTTCCGGAAGCGTGCGTTAACAGAATCATCATTAGTAAGTTGTCAGAGGCAGAAATAAACTGGGTTAGAGGCTCACAAATATTGTAGCCGGTCCAGTTTGCCGAGCTCCGGCGCCAGAGGTCCGGACAGGTTCATTTTGTTAAGATCTCTGTTAAAACAAAGAAATGTTTACCCTAGTAATTAGATGAGTACCGGAGGCACACACAGGGACTAAGAGCATTACTAGTAGAACCCTCAAAACCTCAAACCCTTGTAGCAGTTTTAAGGGTTGAGAAGTGCCAGTTTTTGACACTTTTAAGGGTTGAAAAACAGGGGCAAAGACTAGAACCCTCAAATCCAACCCGCAACCTGCTTTAAGGGTTGGATTTGAGGGTTCTAGTCTTTGCCTCAACCCCAACCTTTAAAACTGTCATTTCATATATCACACATTTCATCACATTTCATCATATGACATATCACAAATTCCATCACAATTGACATAAAACAATAATCATTCTAGTTATTATTACAACACCGAATAAAACAATAATCATTCAAATTATTACAACAATGTTTGAGCAAATAACACTAATTGTTCGAATCAAATAGGACATAGAAAAGGAAAAAAAGATACATCATGGGCCAATGCGCCGCCCATCCAACTGCCAGTGGTGCTCTATTAGATCATCCCGGAGCTGACCATGAGTGGTTGCATCCTCAATCTGACGATGTGCTTGAAGAAAAGCGTGTATGCGAGAAGGGTTTCTTTCCGGTTGCACACGGGTACCAACATTGTCATAGAAACAAGGGAGGTTTAACCCTCTCTCATCCTCTAGGATCATGTTGTGTAGAATCACACAACATTTCATGATGTTCATCAAGGTTTTTTTGTCCTAAAACCGAGCTGGACCACGAACTATGGCAAACCTTGCTTGCAAAACACCGAAAGCTCTCTCAATATCTTTGCGGGCTGCCTCTTGTACCTTGGTGAAATGAGCCTCTTTTCTTGTTAAGGGCACCCCATTTTTCTCCTTGATGGACTTCACAAGAGTTGCCCATTCGGGATAGATGCCATCGGTGAGATAGTATCCCATTGAGTACTCATTGTCCATGATTTTGTAGTTGCAAGCTGGAGCATCCCCAGAAATTAATCTTTTGAACAAAGGAGATCTATTGAGGATATTGATATCATTGAGTGTTCCTGGCAACCCAAAGAATGCATGCCAAATCCATGTGTCCTGAGATGCTACGGCCTCAAGCACAATGGTAGCATCACGGCTTTTACCGCAATACATTCCGTGCCATGCCTTTGGGCAATTTTTCCACCTCCAATGCATGCAGTCAAGACTACCTAGCACCCCCGGCCATCCCCTTTTTTCATTCATTTCCATTAATCTTTTTGTATCTTCCTCGTTTGGTGCCCGAAGATACTGCTCACCGTACAACTTGATGACCAACTTGGCAAACCTACGGACTGACTCCGTGGTTGTATCTTGCCCAATGCGAAGATACTCGTCGGTATAATCCGCGGGTATGCCATAAGCGAGTACCCGCATTGCCGCCGATATCTTTTGATATGCACTAAACCCCATGATACCGGCGGCGGATCTACGACGTTTAAAGTAATATGAGGCGGCCTCACAATCGGTGACAATCTTCACAAACAAACTACGCCGCATTCGGTACCTTCTGCGAAAGAGACGAGGAGGGTATGTAGGTACCTCGGAGAAGTAGTCTTCCATCAAATGTTCGTGTCCGAGAGCGCGGTTCCGGTAGATGGTGACTCGGCCCATCTTCGACCCTCTCCTCTGATCCATCAGCTTCACGCGGTTTTCAAACAATTGCACGTCGATGAGGAGGCTCATCATCTCGACGTCGTCATCTTGCAACAACTCCTCAATGTCGGAATCGTCAGATATCGACCAATCCGACGAATCGGACATGACAATCTCCTCATTGTTCATCTCCATCTGCAAAGGACATTCACAAATTAGTGCTAAAAAATGAAACAAAAAGAAAATGAAACAAAATAAAAAAAATGAAAAAACCTCACCTCTCGGACGAGGCGGCGTCGGCGGCCGGGGCAGGGCGGGAGGGCGGCCGGGGGCGCGGCTTCGGCGGGAGGGCGGCCAGGGTAGGCGGGAGCCG